TAGCATGACATTTATTAGGAATAAAGACTTCTGAGTTCTGGTGCATTTCTGCGTGCAGGGGTCATTATGTTACTGCTATGCGGTCTCTAGTTTGCRGTCCTGATACTAGTATTTTTAAAAGCAAAGTACACTGCAAAAATTAGCCATCTAAAAATAAGTTTAAAAAATACTAGATTACTAAATACTGTAGTTTAAATACTAGAGTCTGAATCTTCTCAAATTCAGTGAAATAATCTGCCAGTGCAGTAACACATTCTGCTCATTTGGCATACCGAGACCAAAAAACCCTTTTGGCTGGATATAAGAGTGCAAGTATTTYGCAAGTTTTGCAGTGTACCTGAAACAATACCATTTTTTTTGCATGGACGTTCACATTTTAAATGCAACCTCCAGAAGACTCCAGTGCGAGGGCTTTATGCCGTCGATATGACTCGTGCACAGAAGATGACGTGACATCATGTTTGGCGSTCTGTTTACAGGAGTAAACAGGCCCCTACCCGTGGATGCTACCTGTTAGCATGTTGATTTTGATTGAAGTTGTTGTGCGAACCAACCTGGATAAATATTTATCTATGCTTGTTTAGTTCACCGTTTACATTGGAACCTGTCTCTGGTCAGCTGCTCCGGTGCAGCATGTATTTATTCAAAGTAAAACTAAAGAATAGATCCAGTAACTTTAATATCGACACAGCCAAACACGTTACTATCATGACTGTGGACTCTGTTATCCAGGACATCAAAAACTTAACGAAAAAATATGAAGCAACTGGACTTCTATTCTGCAGCTGACGACATGTGGTGCTACGACTTCTAAACAGCATGACTGGAGGTTAGTATCATTATTTGGATTGATCTGTATACATCCACCTCACTGATATTCATTTATAATGGAACAGTTTTCCAATAATCTACATGTTTTCTGCTACTAGTTAACAGAAACCCCTCTCAAAAAATTAATAGTTAAGTTTTAGGTTTTATTTAGATTAGAGACTGGCTAGCAAATAAATTGTTTGGGTAAAGGTGAGTGTGGATGTTGTATTCAGAGTCAGAGTAGTTCACAACGTGTGGATATTTACGCCAATGGGACTAGCCTTGTTTACAGAAATGGAAATGAGAGAGATCAACACAGCGAGCCCACACTTCCACAAAAGGAGAAAATACTGCAATGCAAAAACATTTCCAATTTTGTCACATGGGTGTGTAGTTTCCTGCACTACACAGCCACAAAAACACAAATGCATGACACAGGCTGAAGCAGATGTGAATGCCAATCAATGGCCAAACAACAACGCACAGACTTGTGGGTCAAAGTCAACACTTTTAATATGAAATAATAAACCTTTGAAATACACGCTCTCCTCAGACGGAGCATTCTGGGCCAACCCTATTACAAACAAACAAACAAACAAACAAAAAAACCCCAGTAAACATGTGTACTAAAACTGCTTAATCCGAAAAACAAATGTAAACAAATCTTAGGCAACCAGAGCATAAACAAAGCAATCAAGGAGCGTCCTCACACATTAACCCTAACCTGACCTGAAATGTCAATTTGCTTTATCCTTTGATCCCGTTACTGCTGGCTGCCCTCTGACCCCAAAGCTAAATAGACCTGCTCAAAAATACCTACTAGCACAAGTCCACAAACTGTGAATCCTCTGCAAGAACTGATAATTAACAAGGATCCAAAGTGCAGACACCTGATCAATACCAGCATTTATGGAGACTCCTTGGAAAGGCAATACATGCATAAGGAATCAGTGTCAAAATAAAAAAGCTAAAGGCCTAGTTAAAGAAAATTTTGACAATGTTAGGTTAAAAAAAATAGGTCTTTGGACAGGTTGATGGGTATTAATTTGAAATTAAATCCATTTATCCATTTACTCATTTTAAATCCACAGCATGTTAGAAGTGCAAAGACTAAGTTATGTTAGTTATATGGATTCTACTCAAGTCCTAAAAATATAAACAAAACAAACAAAAAATACACATAAACCAGCTTATTTGAACAGAAATGGCTCAGTGTTAGTAAGTAAACTTTAACACCTTCCACAGACAGCAGTCGCAAAGTACTTCACAGTAAAAATGGTAAAAAACAGTAAAAACACCTAGAAAGAGGAAAGGACTAGAGAAGGGAAAGGAGAACAATAATTAATTTAGGAAAGACTTTTTTTTCCTCCTCACCATACATCTTGCCCTCATCTGAAAGAATGATCTTTCTCCTGCCACAAGGGGGGTAGATGGCCAAAGCTTCCTGAAAGCTCTGCTCGATGTCTGGACTCCACACGCCTTCGGGGTCCCCGTCCAATCCACGGTCGGCCCCATCTGCCAGTCCCTCTCCATTGCCACTCTCCTCCTGAGCCCCATCAGGGCTGCCGCGGCAACTCCACTCCGACGCAATGATGACGGTTCCAGCTACAACACACCTACAGCACACAGACGGGATACTTTTGTCATTTTTTTTGTTTAAGAAAACGATGACTCAGTAATAAAGATTATAAATGTGAAATGCAAGAGGATTTGCTGCGAAACTGATGGTGTGTCTCAAAGCAGTTCGTTTTGATGCTGTTCCTTTAAACCCAAATGAGGCACTTCAACCCTGTCCCCTTCAGCTTTCAGACCAGTTCATYCCAGTTTTATAGAGGGGTTTACGACTATATAGTGGTACAGAAACGTAACTAATTAGAAGATGTAARCAAGGGACAACTTGTCCATCCAGCCTTACATGATGGAGCCAGAGTGAAAGGAGAATGAAGACAATGAAACTGTAGTCGGTAAGTCCATACCTTATTTTTCAAATCTGTTACAGATTATTCGACGTAATAGTTTAAAATACATTATAAAAAAATGAACGTGTTGACAAAAAACAAACTTTAAATAATCAAATAAAGTAGTATATACAAATCCAAGTCTATGTACACAGGCAAACAGAACACACCAAAAAATCTAAGCGTGCAAACGCTGTTTAAGAAATACAAGCAGCATGAATTGATCATAATTATTAAGACTTTTATAAAAGGGACACTGTCTTTAACTCAATCCTGCTATCCGTTTTTTTTTTTGTTTGTTTGTTTGTTTCAGAAGAAAATAAACCGACTGAGCAGCATGGAGAACAGAAGCATATCAAATCAGAGTTACGCAAATATACTGTATGCTTTAGGCCTAGTTAAATATTTAGGTGTAAAAGTTGTGAGCCAGTCACAACTTTTAAAGCAGAAACTGGTGTATGTCTTCAAGAAAATCATGCAATCGAATGGATTTTTTTTGATTTAATAGATGCCTAGCACTATTTTCACGAGATGTTTTCAGTACAGAAAATGAAATTAAATGCAAATTTCCCACACAACATAAATRTCTAAATTTAACATGCAGCTGGTCAGGAGAAAAAACTTTTGGTGCAGTGAAAGTAAAGAAAAACAATCTGCAAGCCGTATAAACTAAACCTTAGAAGCCAGTGCGTAGGAAACATGAGGACATTGCACATTTTCTTGTTATTGTTGTGGATGGTCCAAGTCTCTTAAAAGGTCTCAGATGAATGTTGCCTGGAGTGTAACAATTTCCAGAGTGTGGCAAACATGGTGCGTGCCACAAAAGAGCCACACGGCATCAGTGTGGTCGCTGAGCTTCCCTCCACTGCAGCAGGGTTACACAGTGTGTACAGCCTTTTCAAATCCAGTCACTGGTGACTGCACTGTGTGTGGTTCCCATAGTGGACTGGTGAAATGGTAAGAAACGAACATTTAAAAGCAGATGTGCAAGACAAGAAAAAGTGATTGTCAGAAAGGTTTAATTAAAGAAATGTTCTAGTATCCTTAGTTTTTTATTTATCCTTTAAATTATCAAAGCTACAAGCCTATCCATCCAAATAACTTAACCCACTACTTCCATTCAGGGTCTCAGGGATTGCTGGTGCCCATGTCCAGCTCAGTCACTGTGCGAGAGGCGAGGTACATCCTGGACAGGTCACAAGTCCATTACAGGGCCACAGACAACCAATCATTCACAATCTCATTCACACTAAGGGACAATTTAGGGTTACCAATTAACCTAACACGCATGTTTCCGATCAGTGCCGTAACCAAAATAAACCATGCGTGCACAAARAGAACATGCAAAGTCCACTCAGAAAAGTCCCAGGACAGGATTTGATTCAGTGGTTTGGTTTTGTAAAAAGAAAGAAGACAAAACAAACCCTTCAGGGCACAAAAAGCTTTAATTTAAATCACTGAAAATTCCAGGTTCGTAAAACTTTATGAACATTTATTGGATTAGTTTCAATAAAATGTACCTGGTGGTTCATGAGATATTTTACCAACACGGCAGACAGATGAATACAAAATACACTCAAATACAAAATTAAATTCTCACCTGCTTTTTGGCAGCAAGCAATAAAAAAATATTAACTACGCTTTTTCCATCTTACTTTCATTGATGTATCAATGACAACTCATTTTGTCATATTAAAACACTGAAAACTTTAATAACAGCATATAGATCACTCATTAGTTGCTATCAAGACCAAATGAATTTTATTAAAGCACATTGTAGGTTATAGATTCTGTAACCAAACTTAAACAATGAGCTACTGTTAACAGACATTTGTGTTTCCTTTGATTAAATATTAAGCTACTGGTGTCACTTTTAAACCCTTCAACCACACATGTCACAATAGTTGTTGTAATTTGAGAAACACAGTTTGATTTAATGCCCCCCCCCCCCCCCCCCCCCCATTTTGTTGTGGAATAATTTGCCTCATGGTTCTGCTTCACTGACTTGGAACAGAGCATAATCATGACTTTGTCATCATAAATCTGAGCTGTTACCGTTCATTAAATGAGTTGGACCACTCTTATAAACTGTGTGGTCCACGATCATTAAATAAAATCTGTCTCACATTTCCGTGCAACTTCTGAGCAGAAGTGCAGCTCAACAAAATAAYGTTTTATAGAATAAGGCTTATAAAATATGAATGAATGCATATTACTCATGACCTTTCATTTGAGTTTTAGAACAAGATAATTTATGTTGAGAATTTGACTAACTGACTGATTGATTGATTGATTGATTGACTGATGATGCCTTTATTGTCATTGTACAGAGTACAATGAAATTACATTTAAGAACACTCATTTAAGAAGACAGAAATGAGGAAATTATAGCCGTTAAAGCAAATTAAAAAAAAAATTAGTTGCAATCTCATGCAATAAGTGAGCCATCAGCTCAGAGCAGGTGTTGGGAATGACTCTCAGCCACTACCACATAAGCTTCCACATGTCTGATTAGCTGAGGCGGCCATTGTGAAACGGACTGAATCTACTCAGTAAAAGAGATGCATCCAGTGCTGTGAGATATTTTGCTAACAAACTGAGCTGACTCCCAACTGTTAATGCAAAGGTTTTAAGCCAACAGTACACTTTGCGTGTGTCCTGTGTGATCGACTGTTACAACCACACCACATTTTAGTACAAAATCAGCAACATTGCATGAACAGATTTGTCTTTTGTAGAACCATTTGTTGCGGTGGCCATCTTGGWTTTGATTGGTTCCCAATAGTAATCAGTTACAAAGCCATTTGAGTTCCTGAAAGTCTCGTTAGATTTCATGTAGTGGTTCATCAGATATTTTGCAAACAGAGAAAGTTGACTCCAAAAAGGCAACAAAAAAAMCCCCAAAAAAACAAACAACCTGTTATTATGGTATGGCGGGTGCCGGTGGGGCCCATGAGTTTGTCGCTGCTGGCCCTGGGGGCTGTGCGTGTGGTCGCTGGGGGGGCTCTCCCAGTTCTCCCCTATGGTCTGATCTGGGGGGTGGGGGGCGGATCTTCCCGTGCGGGTGCCCCTTGGGGCTCTGCGCTCGGGATCTCTCTCGGGCCCTTGGGCTCTGGTCTTCCCTATGT